TTCTCAGAAAAAAAAATTAACAAATAGAGAAAAGAGATAATTTAGAGATATAATATATCTTTTTCTTGTTACTTTTTTTAATTTACATATATAGTACAAAGGCATTTTCACACATTGTGAGCCAATTAATATTGTGATTTGTGAGTGAGGTAGTTGGACCACATCAAATTCATTAGGATTGACAGACACTTTGTGCAAAAAAACTTTATTAGAGGAACAAATTAAGACTTTTACTAATATAATTAGATGGGCCAAATTAGGGATAATGTACGAGTATCACTCAATTTATGATCGAAATCTCAGGGATACACTTATATTATGCTAAGGTTTTATTACCTCCCTGAATTTCTTTTATTAATAATTTTCTATCCTTTTCGATCTACATGACACTATCTTGTGGGCTCAACGCTGGTTGACTATTTTTTCAAGCTAGTGTCACGTAGGCCAAAAGGGTAGAAAATTACTTATAAAATAAGTATAGAGGGGTAATAAGATCTTTGTATAGTATAAGTATATCTCTGGAATTTCGGACATAGGTTGAGGAGATACTTATACATTTTCTCGACAAAATTGTGATGAAACACCTGCATAAACAAATGAAAATGCCCAAGTCTATTTTTTTTTGTTTTTTGCAAAAAACTATATTTTCATCTTTAACCAAATCAATCGATACAAAGAGGTTTGATAATATAATTCTTTTCTTTTTAATTTTACCTTGTTTTCTTCCTAACATTCTTCAATATTCGTTGTATTTTTTTAAAAAGATTAATTAGAGTTAACAACGAGATCAACAAAATGATGCTATATGTACTAAAATCATACGTAAATATAAAAATGTTATTATTTACTTTCATTTATTTTGTCACTATAATATATTACATCAAGTAAAATCTTATTGATTACTAGGAATGGATTCACTTACTAAAATTTAAATTAAAAAAATTTAAAACTACAAAAAAACCAATTTTTTTTATTTTATCCCAAAGTTTATGTCATGTATCTTAATGAATGACTTAGTGGTTGAGACATGAGAATTAACACATGGAAATTTCAGTACAACTAGTGTGAGACTATCAATAATTATGTTCTGGCAGACATAATTATTTTGTCAATTGAAATTACATTTGTGCATTAGATAACGAAGATGGTTGTATAATACATATTATTAAGGGAACCCTTAAGACTTATTTGGTGTTTGAAATAATAAATTGCTTTATATGTGAATATTTGTAAAGTAAATGCTTGTACCTTCGATATGATTTACAATTATAGAATCACATTTAATAGAGTTAAAAAAATTTATTTTGTTTCACGAAAAATTAATATATTGGTGAGCGAGAGCGAAAGAAAAGTCAAGAGAGTATTAAATGATTCAACTAATACACCACTCAATAATTACTAATCTGATATTGTATGAATTGATATGTTCTTAGTTGACTAGCGGATTATGATATATAAAAAAACAATATCAAATATGTCAAAACTAAGCATAATTATTCGGCTTATCTATCTAACAAACAACTCTAATTGTCATACATTAATGTAAGAGTTAGTCAGATTTCAATAAAATTATTGAACATCGAGTGAGAAATTTTTAAAACAACAAAAGGTTGATAATGTGACAAGCTAATTCAGACGCTTATATGCTAATTTCATTTTCATGTAACATCAAATACTAAAAAGAAGTCTTATACCATGTATAATAATCATTTGAATGGATTTATTTGTTTGTTGATTGAAAATTTAGTTTAAGAAACAAAGATATCTTTTATTTCATAATAGTCAGTTTGTTTTGATTCGGTTTTATGTATTATTAGTTTGATTTTTTGTTTTTAAATATTTTAAGTGAATAAGATATTTTTATCGATTTTTGGTTTATCGATTTTAGTCCTTAACGATTTGGTTTCCGATTTAATCAATAAGAAAATACTTATAAAATATTTATATCACTTTTTAAATAAATGTGATGTGAGAATACATTTTTGTAACTTTACAAATGCTCATAAAACAAAAACAATAAGAACAAATATGAAAAAACTATACAAGTGTAACACAAAGAGAAATTAAAAAGAATAGGCTTCTTATTTTAGATTTTAACGTTTTGTAAAATGTGAAATTGTAAACTCAAAGTCATTGTGAAATGTGATTTGAAGGCTAAAGGACAAAAACAATAACCAATAAGATATTGAGATTAATATTAATATTTATGTACAAATAAAAATAGTAGATTACTAGTTTTAATAAGTTAAAAATTTACCAATAACCCAATATTAAAAACCAATATCAAATCGATAATTCAATAATTTTTTTATAAAATCATTAACCTAATACCCCAATAATAATAAATCAATAACACTTTTATCAGTTCGATTTATCGATTGATTCGATTTTTACATATCCCTCCCATCCATCCATAAAAACAAAAAAAAATTGGCATTGCTCATTTCATTTATAGAGTTGATAAAATTATACTCTCTTTATTTTAATTTATTTATTTATTGTAATTAAAACGTCTTAAATTAAAACATATTAAATTTTATCAATCTTTTTAATATTATTGATTTTAGACATATAAGGTAAAAAGTTAAATTTTTTATCGAAATAATTATTTAGTAACATGTAATGGGGACTATTTTCGTTGGTTGAATGAGAATTTAGTGAGGAAATTGATATTTCTGACAATTAAAATAGACCTCTATTCATAAAAATAATAATAATAAATAAAAGAATAGAGCGTATATTAGGGGAAATAAATTTGTTTTTAAAGTAAAAAATAGATATAAAATCCAAAAAATGTGAAAATTAGTACTGCCACATATATTATAATAAAATTGCAGTTTTCTACTGAAACGGTACATAACCATTTGCCAGCCCACTACACTTTTAATGCCACGTGGCAATACCCCCCAGCAACAAGACAAATTTTACAGCCAATACGTCCTTTTCTACATTTTTCATTTACTATATTACCCTTTGCTTGTTACAAATTTACTAACTCTTTGTTAAATTATGCCATTTTCCTTTCCTTTTCTTTTTGGTTGCAAAAATAAAGAATTTATTTTGGTTACCGTCAATGGACATTAACATGTTAAAAATTATAATTATGAAAATAAGATAGATATAAGATATCATATATAAATCTATTTAAAATTTATTATTCTGAATATAAAATAAATATGTAGATGATTCTATATGAATATAAAATTGGTGATTCTGAATATAAGATAAATTATTGATGATATATACTCACTCCGATCCATTTAAGTTGTTATGTGTATAAGAATAATTAATATTTAAATAAAATAGATTTCATATTATTCTCTCTATTTTCAAATTAATTAAATTATTTCGCATTTTTGTTGAAAAAGAGAAGATATAAATTAAAAGTATAACTTTAGTTTTTTTATTCTTATTAATTATTGTCAAATTTATGATTAAATAGCTAAATAATATTACTCCTTATAATAACTAAATTCAATACTAATTAATGAAGTAAACTTGGAAGAATGTTATAAAAATAATCTTGAAGATTGAACAATTAAGTTAGTTCGAAAAATGAAAAATATAAAATATCTAAACAACTTAATTAATTTGAAATGGAGAGAGTACCTTTTGAGTTGATGGATTTTTAAAAGACAAAATAAAATCATGACAAGTAAAATGAATCGGAGAAGATATAATCTAAACTCGCAAATAATATAGTATTTGAGTTAATTCAAATACACTTCGAAGAAAAACTTTATCGTGTGCATCAAACGATTGAATATTAGAGTCACAATCTTTTCTCCTGTCTCATTTTATTGGATATTTATCGCCTCTATAACCGTTGATTCTGATTCTGATAATTAAAACCTAAATAAGTATACGAATTTATCGAACATTCTTATATCTCTGCTAATATAAATCCTGATTTCTTACGACAGCTAATTATAAGACATTTTTATTTTTATTTTTATTTATATGGCATGAAAAAGAAAACTTATATAGTAATTCTCTAATTATGTTTTACTAAAGAAGAAAACATAAAAAGGTTCAGTAAAATTAAGCAAATTCTATTTAGAACCAAAATATTTGTTCTTATAATAGTGCTATCAAATATATTTCCTCAAATGCAATCATTATATCTTCTGCTTAATTGTAAAATTCAAACACTGATTTAATAATATTCTTACCAAAATTAGAAGGATAATTGTATCTTTGTTATTTTCCAATACTATAGAACTTATTTATTAGTAAACTCTTAATTGTATTGTAAATTCATACTGTGAAATATTAAATGGTAAAAAAATTTAAGTTAATATAAAAGGTAAATTAAAGTCAAATTATGTATCTAGTTTCCACAGTATCTTTTATTTTTTGATATAAACATTAATGTTTTAAAACAAAAAAAAAAAGATACTCTATTACAATACCAAGTTGCAAAATAATAAGCCGTGTAAAATAAATAACTGTTTTTAATGGTTCTATATACATAATATATACATAATATACCGCTAATGTGAAAATATTTTATACTAACGTATCATCAAATGATATTTACTGGTCTTTTTTTTAATCAATGAGAAGTCTTTGATATTATATTTTATAAAACTCAAGCGATGACTTAACATCTCTATTCACTTTAAAATATCCAAACATTACAAACTAAATAAAAATGACGCAATGTTACAAAAGATTATTTACCTTTGACAATGTGTATTATAGTTAAATTCTTTGTTAGATTAATCTTATCAAATGATGTACTCCTTTTCATATAGTGTAATTGATAAAATTTCTTTTTAACCAAAGATCTTTATTTTGTGGATTTTACGTGATATAAATATTAATTAATCTGATTTCAATACAAAAATGATGTAGTAAATGATTTTTAAAAACAATAAAAGAGAGCGTAAAAGTGTATATAGAGTATATACGTATATATACAGAGTGTATATTGTCTTCCAAATATGCTTATGGCATAAATGTGTATACATTTCTCTTTACATTTTTTTCCCCACTTGTTCGTGTCTATATTTTCGCCACCCCCATTTCTCATTTTCTTCCATTGTTGCCCCCTTCCCCATCTCTTTCTCTCTCTAAATGCCCTAAAAATCCAATATAAAACACACCCTTTTCTTCTCCATAGCCGCTATATCTCATCTCAGTCTTATCACTCTTCTTCATCCACATCTAGTCAACAATCAGTCACTCAAAACAGAGGCGAATCAAACAACAACTACACAGATCATCTTTTTCTTCTTATCCTCTTCAAAATCCATTCTTTTTCAAGAAAATCGGTTCAGATTTGAAAATGTTTTCTTAAAAAACACAGATTTTGATTTTTTTTTGTTGATATAGTTAAAGAACGAATCTTTTTTGTTGATTGAAAGATAAAAAGTGTTTTTTGAGGTATTTCAATGGCACCCAGTATGGATTGTGCAGTTTCCAGCCTTTTGTGTGCTGAAGACAACAGTAGCATTTTTTGCAATGAGGACGATGATGTCGGATTTGGGTTTGTAGAGGAAGTTGTGGGGGAAGATATATGGTATCCTAGGATTCATCGAAATGGTCAAGAAAACAGGAAGTTGTTTAATGGAGATGAGTTTTATACTGGTGTACCATTGCAGAGTGATGAGTGTTTAGTTTTGATGATTGAAAAAGAATGTGAACATATGCCTGCTGTTGATTATCTTGAAAGATTGAGAAATGGGGATTTGGATATTGGGGCTAGAGATGAGATTCTTGATTGGATTGCTAAGGTTTGGTTCATGAATCTTATAGATGGTCTTTATTTTAAGATGATCGGATTCATCGAAAAATGTTGCCGGGTGCGTGTTAGATCCTTCAAAATAATGCATTTTTGGAGGATCCGATACGTGTGGCAACAATTTTGGAGAATCGGAGCAATATAATGATTTAATTAATGGAAATTGGTTCTAATAACTTAGATTAATTAGATTTCAAGTTATTAGATTCCTAAACAGTGAACTGGAGTATTTAATAAGGGAGTTTCAATGATGTAAATTTTTTCTTGGTTCAAAAGGGGGAGGTTGATTTTATGTCATAATTATCTTTAGGAGGTTTTAGTTTGGGATGTGTGTGTAGGGTGGGGGGAAGGGGGTGGGGTGAATGATTCTTGTTTTGTTTACTTTATCATGGTTAAACTTTTTGCTAATACATTCACACAAAACATGAATGGGGTTTGTGGGGGATCCTTTTGGTGTTTTGTTTAATTGTCAGCTAATACTGATATGTTAAATGAGTTTGTGTAGGATTTCACTTTTTATGTTCTGGATCTTTTTTTCCTGTTTCACCAACTCTTAGCTGTCTAGTACATGATTTTTTTTACCTCTTTACTTGTTTTGTTCTGCTTCTTGTGTTTCACACTGTAGATATGTGATTGATTTTCAGTTACTCATTGTGTTTATTATTGTTTGAGTTAGATATAGAGTAAATCTAACGGTGGATCGGTTCTTGCAGGTTCATTCGCAGTTCAATTTTGGTCCAATGTGTGCATATTTGGCTGTGAACTATCTTGATAGATTCCTTTCTGCTTATGACTTGCCTGTAAGTTCTTTGATTACTGAATTTGGTAGTATTTGCTTTGTGTTTCGTTCCATTCAATCACATTGCTTATAAGGTGTAACATCTGTTGTTTGTTTTCCACAGAAGGAAAAGGCTTGGATGATGCAGTTACTCGGCGTAGCTTGTCTGTCGATTGCTGCCAAAATGGAGGAGACTGATGTTCCTCTGTCTCTAGATTTACAGGTGAATTTTTTCGTAAGTACATTCGTGGGCTTATACGTGGGATTGCATTAGTTATGTTGTTGCTGATTGTGAATTTGCGATGATGAATTGATCGACAGGGAGGGGATGCAAAGTTTGTATTTGAAGCTAAAACAATACAGAGAATGGAGCTACTTGTGTTAACCACATTGAAATGGAGAATGCAGGCTATCACCCCATTCTCTTACATAGATTATTTCATCAAGAAGATAAATAATAGCGATCAAATATCTTCGATCAATAAATCAGTTGAACTCATACTAAGCACACTAAAAGGTGAAAAACACAATTTAATCTTGAGACACTTATGATCTTGATTTGTGCTTGTGTGATGGACTAACTTTTGGATTCAATGCACAGGTATTAACTTCTTGGAATTCAAGCCTTCTGTGATTGCAGCAGCAGTAGCAATCTCATTTGCAGTAAAAACTGAGACATTAGACAGTGAGAAAGCACTATCTGCTCTAGTTCAGCATGTACAAAAGGTAAACCTAGTGGTCCTAATAAAAACTCATTAGTAGTACAAAACTTGATCATTTCCATGTTGATTATCTTACAACAATACTAAAGTTTTGATCTTTACTCTAAACTTTGCAGGATAAAGTGATGAAGTGTGTTGAACTGATTCAAGCATTGTCATTAGCAAGTGACTTTGTTAAAGTTCCAATTGCTTCTTCAATCCCATCTGTTCCTCAGAGTCCAATTGGTGTGTTGGATGCAGCATGTTTAAGTTACACAAGTGATGGCTCAGGAGTTGAGTCGCGGTCTAATTCATCGCATAATAGTCCAGTGAAGAGGAGAAAGCTAAATACTTAAAGATGGATGAGATATTAAGTGGAAAGAAGGCCTTTTGTCAAGTTATTATGATATAGTTGAATGAGAGTTTTGGTGTGATCTTTTGAGAATTACAATGCACCCCACATACACATAACTTCAAAATAAAGAAAGTTTAGGAAATATTATGAAGAAAATGAATACATATAATGGTGGGGGGGGGGGGGGGGGGAGGGAAGAGATTATTGACTAGTTGGATTATTTTTGGTGGTTGGAGATTGAAGAAAAGATATATAGACAAAAGGTTTTATTCCATTAACATATATATATAAAAAAAAAGTTGGAGCTGTTAAATATTAGAGACAGCTAAAGAGCCAAGATTAATTAGGCAACAAATTAGAATGCAAAAAAAAAAAAAAAACACAAAAAAAGAGCAACTCTTATGATCTTGTTTTTGCTTTTGTGTTTATCATAGATAAAAGTTTGTTTAGCCTTTGAGGGCTTTGTATTTGTTTTTAGAGTTTAAAAAAAGTTTTTAAAAAGTAAAAAATAAAAAAGAGCAGAGTAATTAAGTGATGGAAGGTGAAAAACCATTAGAGAAATTTTGAGTTGTTTAATTTTATTTGTTGTTATGTGCACTTTTGCATTATGTATATACTTTTATGGCTTCTTTATGAAATTCTAAACTATACAAGTTCAGTAATATTACATTTTGTTGCTAATTCTATACATAATATATATATATACTGTATAATCAAATCTTTACATTATTCAATCAAATCACCTAAGACGTGTTGGGCCATGATAACTCAAAAATACTCTTATTAGTGTGATATTGGTCTATTTTAGATGAAATCATCTTTTCTTTTAAAGGATTTACATTATTGTTAATAGTATTCATTACTTTGTATGTAGAATATTTTTTTTCCTTTTCAATTTGACAAGGTATCCTCTTGAGTTCAACTCACATTAAAAGAGGGATTAGTAACTTGAAAAATACACCACTCTACTAAAGGTGCGGCTTGAACGATAGAGCGTATACAAATTTTAGTCCTGCTTCGAGAGGTAGAGTTGTTGTTTTTGATAACATCCAAAAACAAAATAATGATAAAATACTAAAAAAAATATGATTAAATCATTCTGAGAAAAGAAATAATAATGACACTGAAAAATGTGACGATCGAAATACAATACTATAAATACTACGTCTACTATCTACTAACCTCATATATTAATTCATATCATTTGTAATCTCCTATCTGAAGTAACGTCCCGATCAAACGAAAAATTAAAATCTTTCAAAATAGAAATGACCAAAATAGCCTCCTGGCATATACTTTTTTGTGGAGCACATGTGATGAGTCCTTGTTTGACTGCTTGTCTGGTTGGACTCTATGGGATTTGGTGCTATGCTTATTAAAGAAGTGTAAGTGTAGCCTGTTTCACTTTAATCCTTATCAGTATGGGACTAGTTTTATTTGGCAATGCAATGGGCACAAAAATATTCAATTTTAATAATCTTGAAAAAAAAATATATATATATATACACACATAACTAAAAATGTAACCTTTTTTCTTCTTTTCTTGTTTAATTATGTTTGATTAATTTGGTATTATATAGAATAGGACTTTACAATAAAAAGAAGGGGAAAAAAAAGCACTTTCATGGACAAAGAATATACTACAATTTGTCTCAGTTAAGGCACTGCCAGAATTTCAGAAATACTGTATTTCTAAAGTTTTATCAACTTTTAGCCCTTTTAGGTTTGTGGAATATTTTTTTTTCCACTTCGATGTTCGATATTCACATTAGAGTCCAATTAAATTTGAATTCATGTCGTCAAGTTTCACATCCTCGCATAAAACGCTCCTTATCAATACGACTTCGTATTTAAAGAGACTCAAATATAAAACATCTGATTAATAATGAACGAGTATTTATCAGTTATCACTCCGCCACAACTTTATTGGTCCTTGGGTTTGTTGTGGAATAAGTTCCCTCAACGAAAAGATATGGGGCTGACATTTTAGCCAATTTTAATATAATCAGCCTTGCAAAAGAGTAATAATATTAATTAGGGAAACTTACGTAAATATATCGATCGATTATCTAGTTTAATCATATGATCGAAATATGTATTACTATATACTCTGACTGTATATATTGTTGTATAATATATGTATATTTAGTGTAAATTACAACATGTAGATGCAAAAATGTTAAATGGTATTTGACTCAAATTTTCTTTTAAATTATATTATATGTACTTAGAAGTGTAATGAAACTTAACATAATACTACAATTTTACTTATTAGTTTGTTGTTTTAAAAGAAATAATGAGGTTCCCTTTTAATTTATATTAAATTTGGGGTATCTCAAGCTCTTAATATATATAAAATAACAAATTATGAACAGTTAAAAGAATTGAAAAAGGTGCATAATTATCGACAATTATGGCAGCATTCTTGTACCATACATGTGTTACTGATGAAAAATATAAATTATAAAAGACAAATAGACAATAATAATATTTTTGACCCTTTTTGAAAAAATAATAATAATAATTAAAATTTCAGAATGTTAAGTCTTAATCAATAACTAGTATTTATTAATCTTTCAATTTACTATCATTGTCATCTCTGGCTGCTATTAGGTGTAAACTCTCTTAGCAAATTCCACAACTTAGATTTTTAATGGAGGAAATTTATTATTAAAGTAGGCGTTTAATCATGTTTTATTCTGAAAATAGAAAAGAAGAATTATTTTTGAAGTAAAATTAATATTTGAAAATTGGAGTCGCTGTATTAGGCCAAGAAATAAATCAAATTTGTTTTTTGTTTTTTTTAGGAGTAATTTGGAGTGAAAACATATGGAGCGATAATAAATTGAAAATAGAGAATAAATAAGAGTAATGTAGTTAGATTATTCTCTTTTAGTCATTCTTTTCTTCTTTAGTTTATGACCAAAAATAGAAAAGGTTCATTTAAATTTTATTAGTCGAAAAAATCACATTGTATATGTATTATATATAGTTGAATATTTTGTATTTGGTGAAAATTCTACGTCTGTCTACTCATGGAAATTCATGAAAATGTTGCTTGTTAGGTTGAGAAAACTCTGATGATTCAACTCTTTCGATGCTTTTTTCGCTGTATATCTTCATTCGTTCAAAAGTACATCAATTTAAATACGTTGTAGGACCAATTTTTATTTTTATTTTTATATTATTATTTAGTTCAAAGGAGTAAATGCTCTTTTTTCATAGTTAATGTAATGCAGTAAGTTCTGTGATATAAATGCTTGATTTGTCCCATGGTAGGTCCAAGCCCAATAGCAGTAAGTAGATTTTACAGTTTCTTCTATAATTATTTATGCTTCAATTATTATGTATTTACTGTGCATGACTACTATTCATAGTTGAAATGAAATGAAATTCTTTCATTTAATTAACCATGAAAAGTCCTACAAAAAACTTCTTGGATTCTATACTTTTATATTGGTACAATAGTTCCTTATAATAGTCTGATGCACGAAATATTACGCAAAAACATTTTATAATAAAGGCGAATGCACGATTTTAATTTATTGAACTGAGTTTTAGTTATCTGAATTATTAGATTCTAATTCCTATCGCATTTATGATTCTTATTCTACTTCTTACACCAACAACTTATTCCAAAATTTATATTTAAATATCTATAATTATATCGTAAATTATAGTTTTACGGTATTTATTTTATTTTAACTTGTGTAACATGTAATAATAACTTTGATTATCCGAGGTAATTAAGCACTAATTAATTTATGTTAAAAGTGTAGTAGCACTAACGTACGTAACACGTAATAATGATTAATATGTCCAATTGTCAATTCAAGTTAATTATTCCATAGCGCAGGCTGGTTATTATATAAAAATGTTGCACGTTGAATTATATCTTTCATATTAGTACATTTTTTTCCATTTCATATTATTGCAAAAAATTCCTCAAACTACGACAATTTATAATATAATATTAAAACAGAAATCACCAAAAAAAAAGGTAGTCTAAAATAGTATTTACAAATTATTAAACTTTTAGATAAAATAATCATTATATCAATTTTTGTAAATATGTTCTTTGATTCGGAAATTCACACTGACTCAAATATATGAACTATAAAATCAGGACCACATGTGTGAATGAATGTTAAAAAATCGAGTTTCTCTCATCTAATATATGAAGGTACCTAAAATGTCTTTAAGAGCCATAAACCTTGAATATTTTAACCGTTTAAATTTCCAGACGAGATGATTTATATTGATTTCAAACGGTATATATATATATATACATGTATTAAATAAAAAAAACTACTGATAGTATAAAGAAGTACATAAAGATAAGTTCCAAAGTACAATAATAAATGCATGTATATATGTATAGAACAAGTGTATATAGAGAGCATCAAATTATGATTGTGAATGTTCAAAACAGTCTTTAAATTTTGTCACGGAAATTGAGTGCCTTGAGACTTGAGACTGTTCAGATAATAATAATATGCCAGCCTCATCCATTCATTTTATTTGTGTCAAATAATAGTAATAAATGTACTCGATTACGGGATGGAGTCAGGTAGAATCAAAAGATTTATATATTATTCGGTTTTTGAGATTATATATAGTAGATGTTTAACTTTTTTAGACTTTTTCATGTGTCTACTTTTTATATTCTAAATTCTAATTGAAAAATTCTGGCTCCGCCACTGCTCGATTGGACCCCTACCCCCAACCCCATTTTGTTTTTTCACTTTGGGAAGCTTCGTTTAAAGTGAATTATTTCAGAAGGAGCGTTTAGTTTCAGAAATGAAAATGGTGGATCATATTACATCACAATCAATGAGTAACATATGGCTTTAATTTACTCATGTGGGACAACTTCATTTTGCCCCTATTCTATTTCCTATTTGATAACAAAAAAGTTAAGATTGTTTTGTTTGTTAATATTACATAAAATCACATTTCTAACTATTTTATATTCCTTTGGTTTTTCTTTGTTTCTCTAGGGATTAGCGCTTATCTTAAGGAAAAATCGAGTATCCTAACTTAAAACCTTTCAATAACTGATAAAATAGCTTAGAATCATGATTTTAAAAAATTACGTTAATATTGAAAAAGAGATTGAGATACACACAAACTAAAATGTGATTATATAGTTGTAT